CCCAGGTTTAAAGCCTTTCAGGGCAGCATAAAGCCCACTGCTCTCTTTAAGACAGAAAAAAGAAAAATAAACTGTCAGTTCAGGTGTTTTATGAAATATATGAATCAGGAAATTGTCTATTTACCAAACTGAACGATTGTTGCTCTCTTCTTAAAAAAGACACTTTAGATTTTAAGATGGAAAATTGTTCTATTTTTATTTAAAAAGTCAATGTATAACACGGATGCATAAACACCTCATTTTATTTCAGTGTTAAATTCTGTTTAAAGTAAGAGATTATAATTATAAATGTCTCAGGACCTTTACTGGTTGATGATTTTCTTTATTTGGACCCCACTGGTTTTTAACTGATTTATTCCCCCTGGAGTTCAATGTGTTGGTTGCATTTTAACCCCTCAAGTTGTAGAACTCACAACACATCAACTCAGGACACTTTACAAAACATTAAGCAAACCAAAGATACACGAGTGCTTGCCCTGCTGCTTCCTCCGTTTGATATCCATTGATAATATTTAGCTAGATTTGTTAAATTCTCTTTTTTGTTTAAAGTGAGGCTTGTGTAACATCTGTCATTATTGTGTTATTTTTACTTATGTAAATGGAGGAAGATAAATTATCAGCTTCAAAATCAGCCCCAAGAAACTGGCTGCAGATATTAGGAATCAGTTTGTTTATTGTCAAAGTAATCAATATGATAGAGGCCTTAAAAAAACTTGTATCGCTTGATCTCTAGTTTAAACCATTCTTACTGACAAATTTGCAGTCAAATACACCATTCCTAATCAACAAAGTCAAGTTCAGTTTATTAGTCAGATCAGTTCAAACGTTTTCTATTTGAGGAAAAGAAGATTGCATCGAGTCACTGACTTATTGGGACAAAATAAGTAGATAAAAGCACGAAGACCTTGTAGTTGTTATTAGTTTAGGATTTTACTGTGTTTATTATTTGACCATCCTTTCAGAGCCATTGAGTTAAAATATATGCTAAATTTTTTCATTCACTGATTGATTTTTTGTAGATTTGACCCATTCCTCTCTAACTGTATTGACACCGGCAGCCTAGAAGTATTAATATTTATTACTCAAGTAGAAGTATAAACACTTTTGTAGAAGTTAGAGCATCAACTTAAGCTTTTCACTTAAGTAAAAGTGTAAAAGTACCATTTTTAAAATTACTTAACGTATAAAAGTAAAAGTAATGCAGGAAAAATGTTAAGGGTAGATGCTTTAAACCTCATACTGTTTACTGCACTACCCAGTTAAAGGGACGTTGTTTTCTACAATTCTGGATGATTTATTCCTTATACTTACAGGGTTTCCGGAGGTCATTAAAAATAATTTAAAGTTATGAAATTACAATTTTTTAAATTAAATTAAAATTGTCATTAAAATTAATTTAATGGAATTATGGTGGAATTTGAAATGCTTTATAAAAAAAAAATTGATAAGAACAATTTCGTCAGATATAATTATATCGCTATAAATTTGTGCAGAACTGCTTCCGGTTGATTGTTGAGAAAAGAAGCTTGAGAAAGGGGGAAAATGCAAATTTCAACAAAAGTGACTGGAAAACGAGGAATTCTGGACATTGCTGCAGCCTGTCGATGGTAAAGATGAAGAAAGATTTTGCCTTGTTTATATGAGAGTAATGGGTACTTGTTGATGGCTTTAAAATTATTTCTGAGAGCATTAAAAGAGCATTAAAAAGCATTAAATAAGATCTACTCATTCCTGTAAAAACCCTTATGGCAACAGTGTGAAATTTAACTTTACGTCTTCTTTGAAAAACGTTTTATATTGTTGTTTATCGAACAACAAGTTTGATGAAACAATTATTATTTTTTTTATGCCAACAGTCCATAATGGGAATGTGCTTAAATTAAACAAAACTAATGAGTCTTTTTTAAAAATGTAAGGAGTAGAAGTAAAAAGTTAGTCCTGTAAAGTATAGATAGTCAACATTTCTATTTAACTAAGGTAATGAAGTATTTGTACTTTGTTAATTGACACCTCTGCTGGAAACCAGAGAGATCTAGATTAGCTAAGTATTCCTGTCTTTGCCTGTCAGACGGGCCTTGGAAGCATCAGTAACTTTACATCATGACTGTAATATTGTTATTCATTATACCGTGTTTAACTACAGTTTGGTATTAACAGCTTTTTGTTTTTCTTGTGTAACACAGCAGCAATAACATCTGGCACTTTTATTTCTCCTGCTGTCAGTTTTAGAGTCACGTCTGTACAGGTTTCTTCACAAAGATAAAATTCTAAAGTCTGGTGGCCTTTAGTCCAGAATATCTTTATCTTGTGTTTCCTGCACTTAAGCACAAACAAGCTTTGTTTATTTTGCCCTGACAGCTGGATTAGTTGGTTTAAATAGTAAAAACAAAAAGTGGGACAGACTCGTAAATGATGGGCTGCGATCTGAATGATTTGGTTTGATGACTGCAGTGTCATTTGCTGCTTGTAATCAGATCTTCTTCCAAATGGCATATTGTCTGTGTCGTTATAACGCAAGTGTTTTACTCCAACGCAACAATGCAAAATCATTTAATTAGTAATCAGAGATGATTTCTGCATAATTTAAAGTGAAGGGTTGCTATAAAATAGCGACACAAACAGACATGGGCAACGTGTTTAAAAATGTCTGCACGTACAAAAGCTCCGTCATCCTCCTCATGTAGTAATTACACAATGATTCAATTATTTGATGTGATACTCTGAAGTATTTTTGAATTATTAGCTCCACAGGAAGGAAAAAAAAAACAGCTGCTCAGTTGAAACTTCATTTGCCGAACTCTAATCATGTCTGACCTCAGAAAAAGACCCCTAATTATGATTGGGAGACAGTTTGACCATTGCACTGATTAGAAATAAAAAAAAAAGCTGTGTTTAATTTCACCAGCAATCACAGATGCTTTCGCAGGAGGACATGACTCAAAGAGTTTGCATCGCTAGCAGAGCAAATCAATGTGCAGATGGGAGAAGAGCTTCTTACCAAGCTGTGAAGATTAGCATCAACAACTTGCAGATGGAGTCATTATACTTGGATGTACACTACATATCATGCAGAGGTTGTGTAGACATGCACTGTTAAGCATCGTTTCACCAAACGTACCATTGTTTATGACTAATTGGACCATGGTATCCAAACAAGTATTGTGAGAGATTTCTATAAGACCGGAACTTGTGCAAAGTTATCAGCATCTGCAGGTATTTAAAATGGATGGGATATTTATTTCTATTCATTAACGTTGATGTTTTGGATCTGTTAGGTACATATGGCCTTCATTCATTACAGCTGAATACAGCTTGTTTCCTTTTCCCTCTACTGACAGTGTGGGTGGTATTAACTGTTAATTATGGCAGCCATGTTTGAAACTGCACTGACACAATGAACCCCACATCCTTCTGTTTATGTGTGATTATTACATCAATTTAAACATTGATCTTTTTAGGGTTCAGCTAGTGTCCATAGTACTGTATTTGATCAGCACAACATATCCAGGTGTTCTGCTTATAATCACGTCTAGGACTTTTAGCTGACAACATAAGACAAGGCGGTGGGATAGCTTGTGAGTGTTTTACTGCATCATCCTGCTGATCTCGACTGAATAAACCCTTATCATGTAAAATACAGGGGAAAGTTGTAAGTGCAAAACCTGGATGATAATCAGTTGATGTCATTGCACATCAAACTTATTACAGTTTTACACATTTGTATCAAAAACATTGTCTTAAATTTGAGGCAGCCCAGGCATAATAAATGTTTCAATTATCTTAAAGCTATCTCAAACATTGTGCAATATAATAAAAAAAATAGCGAATGAAATAAAACAGGTCAGTGAGGTAAAAAGAATAATACAAATCAGTATTTTTGTAATCTCTTTGTGTATGGTTGAACAAAACAGATTGAGGATAATCCTCTATTCATTCTGCCTGTGCTCTAATAACCTAATTGGTACACCCCTTCTCCTTACAGTCTGTGGTTTTTGCAGATTACCTTTTTAAAGTTTGACAGTTGAAGCTTACGCCATAAAATGTTCATTGACAAAATGGGCAGAAAATTTGACAGAGGAAAAGTTTCAAGTTTTGACATGACAGGCAGGGGACGCCAACTTTTTTAAGGCTGAGGGTGATAGGATAGGCTACCAGTACTGACATATGAACTGCAGGAGTCAACATTCACATAAACTTTATAGATAATAAACATATTTGTATTGTTTCTCTTCATTTCTAATTTGCTTTTAGATATTGTCATTATTGAAATCCCTATAAATGCTTAACAGTTCTAAATTGTTGATATTATGAAATGCTCTATAAATGATTAAAAATAAGAGCAGCAGCATTAGATAACATTTTAGACAGTCCACTGATAAGTTGTTCTGTTTTAAAAGATGCTGAGGGCACCCCATGTGGTTATTAAGGGCCCCTTGGTAACCCCTGATGTAAAGAAACCCAGAACTGTGTCTAAAAAAAATGTCCCATCTTGTGAGTAGGGAGAAAATTCCCAGAAAGCCTTGCCTGATATCTGATTTCAAATATCCCTAAATAATATAAATAAAACAAATGTGTATTGAACTTTTTTCAGGTCACTAAAAAAATGTTAAAATCTGTGATTATAAGAGAAATTCTGTCTATTCTAGTGTCCTGCTGATCTCGACTGAATAAACACTTATCACCCTATATATACGGGAAAGCTGTAACCGCAAAAGTTTTATAATAATTGATGTCATTGCATGTCAAACTTGCACTTTTGCAGATGTTTACTAAAACAATTGTCCTAACATTGAGGCAGCCCAGACATAATATATAATAT